TTAAAATTTATTATAAATATATCTTATTAAATTTATTATTTATTAACATTATAAGTTATTAACTTTTTAAAATATAAATTTTATTATAATTATCATTTATTATTTAATACTCATTTAAAATTTGAGTTTTATTAAATATTTAATTTAATATTTACTAAAAACGCAAAACAGAAAATGGAAGAAAAGAAAATTGGCCGGCTGAAATTCGGTTCTCCAGAAACTAAATTCTAACAGCCCACGCCGGTGGGGAGGACAAAATGAAGGTCAGAATTTGGTTTCCTAGAAACCAAATTCTGAACTTGTATAGTGAATGGTGCTAGTTGAGGAATTAAAATGTACAATGTGCTATTTTGATTTTTTATTTAATTTATTACGGTAAAAAATTGTGCAAAGTCACAAAAGAAACGGCTTCATCATTGTTACACCGAATGGTTGTGATCCGGTGTTCAAGGCAAGTTGCTGACGCACACAAAAGCTTTCACTTTAGAAAGAAAAAGGATAGGAAGGGAAGAACACACGATTCCAGAGCGTAGTGTGTGCCTGAATAAAGAAAAGAATCAAAAGAAGCTTTAACAAAAAGTGGTCCTTGTATATAACAGATTCGCACAGACAAACATAGCATGTATAAATGCATGTTTATGAACGGAAATAATATAATGGACCGGAATCATAGCACACAGTGCATAAGCATTAATTGAAGTCTAGTGAAGTGAAGCCAAGTCAAATGAATCATTTGAGGACACAAGAATAATGCATTAGGGCAAAACTCTGTGTGAAAGAACAACCAAATTAGATAGACAAGTCCGAAATGACCGGTTGGCGTGTGGTACAAAGATTCTTTGCATTTAAAGAACAAACTATAGTAATATTAGTAGCAAATAATATTTCCACTTCTTTCTTTTCAATGGTTTATTTGTCTATATGTGAATGTGTTGTTTCCCGAAAACAACGCATGTAAGACGAGAATCATGTGTGTTCTGTTTGTTAATGGAATGTCCATTGTTACGAGAATAAAGATGAAGAGAATGAATAGTTGGTATAGAAGGAGGTGAACATTAACCAAAGTTAGAGCAAAACTGTCTCCGTCTATAAAACTATCATTTTTTAAATGTAAAATACAAACTTACAGAAAAAGAAAATAAGAGATAAATAATTTCAAGGAATTCCAAATTAATAAACTTATTTATATAATTAAAATAGTGAGATATAATTTATATAATAAGATTGTAGTAAAAATATATTAATGTGGTATTTTCATAATATTACGGGAGCATTAACTCTTGCAATTCCGACCAAGTGTGATAAAGGTCAAAAGTCGTCTAATTAAGAGTGCTGAGATTTTTTATTTTTTATTTTCTCAGGTGATTCAAAATTCAAATGTCCGCTTTTCACCATTGCAAATTTGCAACCAACATCAGCCTTTTTTACTCTGGTTCATGTACATGTGTAAATGTGAATATATATGTTTAATTTGGAATGAATTAAATTGATTTTTAAAATTAGAAAAACATAAATAATCTAGTCAAGTTAAATAAATTGATTTTGTTGCTCTTTTTTTTAAAAAAAAAATATTTATATTATTTTATTGAAAAAATTAAATCTCACATAAGATCAAATTAGAGTATAAATATAAAGTAATCTTCATTTTATAAATTAATTTTATATAGTTCAATTAAGTCTAAACTTATATTTTAAAATGATATTATATCAAAGTTATCCTAAATTCTCTAAAAATGATCACATATTTTTTATACACGCAACAAATTCAATAATAATATGAATGTAGG